CTAGGACTGATTGTTTCCATTAATTTTGGTTTTCTTCTTTCTTCTTGATGAGAAGAGACCCGTTGTTGCATCTAGATGGCAGCTTCCTAGCTTTTAAGGTCTCAGTCGCTACTCGCCAAAGTAGTAGGTGGAACAATGTTTTATATAGTATGTTATGCCAATTGAGCTTGATGTTCCCTGCGACTATGAAGGAACACATTTTTTAAAGTCTAATTTAAAACTCCAAAAAGATGCTACAGTTGTTTTCTGCTACAAGTGGTATGAAAAGTAAACAGAGAAACAGAAACCCTACTGTGAGATAACTGAAAGTTTGAGAACAGCAATGGATACTACATCTTTTCAATCTGGGAAAGCCAAATAGTAATTTGGGTCAGGTGACGAGGCGAAATAAATAAGCTAATACATGCCAAAACACTTAGGGCTATTATTTTATCATCAATGCATTGGCCAGTACATAAATTTTGTGTATGTATGTGTGTGTGTGTGTGTGTGGTTTGGGTAAAGGCTTACAGAACAAATTAGTTTTCTATTCAATAATTTATATACATTTCGTTTCATAACATTAGTTACAATTCCCTTCATGTAATTCTTCCCTCCGCCTCTCTGGGTTCCTCACTTCCATTCACCCATCTTTCCTGCCCCTTCCTGTCTCCTGACCTTTGTTTTTGGCCAAGTGCTGCCCTTTTGGTCTCATGTGGTTGATTATTCTGAAGACTAAGTTTCTCACAAGTGTGTTACTGTTCACCTCATAGGCATCTGTTGCTTGGCTGCGAGGTGATTCCCAGGATTGGTTCAGTTACAGGCTTGAAAGGTGTCTAAAGGCTAGTCATCGGAAGGAAGATTGGGCAATCCTACTTCCGTAGTGATACTGCCTCGGAAACCCAAGGAGGGGTCGCTATGAGTAGGGGCCGACTCAACGGCACATAACAACAACAACAAAGGCTAGTCACAGGGGTTCCACCAGCCTCTATTAAACCAGTATCTGGTGTTTTTTATGACTTTGAATCTTGTTCTACATTTTCTTCCCATTCTGCTCGGTGGTCCCAATCAGAGTGGTCAGTAGTGATAGTAGGACACCACCTAGTCCTTCTGATCTCAGAGCAGTGGAAGCTAGTCCTTTGGGCTAATTGTTTCCTTGCATCTTTGATTTTCTTCATTCTTATTTCCTTCGGATGAGGAGAGACCACTAGTTGCATCTTAGATGGCCACTTGGTAGCTTTTAAGACCTCATTCACTACTCATCACAGTAAGGTATAGAACAGTCTTTGTGAAGTATGTTATGTCAATTGACCTACCAGTCCCCCAAGACTGTGGTCATAAACTCCCAAGCCTAGGGACTCATTCCCACAAGGTGTTTGGTTATGGTTAAGTTTTCATAACTTTGCCCCCTGGTTAGTCTATTATATGCATGGATGTATTTTACAGCACATACAAATCCATACGTAGAAACATCCTCTGCCAAACCTGTATCTGGTTGTGGGTGTGGTCCTGTTCGCCTGCCTGCACCTGTTCAGCCTGCACCTCTGCCTATGGACCCACTCATAGATTGTTGCTTGTTGTTACCGATACTGCAGGATTGTGTATGTAATAGAATTCATCTGTGTTGTCTATAACTCCTGTGCAGTGTCTTCTTTTGCCTTAGTGATACTATACTGATCACTATTTTACTTATAATTTATTTTTGTTGTGGTTGTAGAGAAGATACACCGCAGAGCACACTAATTAAACAATTTCTACATGTACAATTCAGTGACTGATTATATTCTTTGAGTTATGTAATCATTCTTACCTTCTTTTTCTGAGTGGTTCCTCCCCCATTAACATAAACTCACTGTCCCCTAAGGTTCCCATCTAATTATTCAAGTTGCTGCTGTCATTTTGATCCCATGTGGACAGATCCCAATGTCCAAGGCTGATACTCTTTAACATCTAAGTTAGCTACAGTATCTATATGATAGACATCGTCAGTCAAATCTCCTGTAGCCAGAGTAGTTCAATGGAAAATACTTGCAAGGGGACAGAATCAACTCAAAAATTAACACGGAAGAAGCAAGCTTTAATTTCATGCAATGAAACAATAACAATTATGATGAACCTACATTAGATCTTACCTGTCTAATTTTCAGGTTTGTTTCTCCATCTAAGTTGGATGTTTCAATGTAACACATGGCCTGGGGCTCACTGTTGTTTAAAATTGAGAAACACAAAGATTTAGAAGACGGAAAGCATAACAATGTTACCATTAATAGTTTATTGAAATGCTCAGACTCACTGAAGCTTTTGATTCTAGACAAAGCCACCAGTCACCTAGTCTCTTGATGTTTTCCATTCTAACAGCAAGATGTCTTGAGGCAGAACCCATGCATGACAACGTGTGGATCAGCTTTTCAGCCAATAAGACTCAAAAGCAATTTCCTAACAACAATCACTGCTATTGCTGCAATTCAAGATAATGTAAACAAACAGATCTGTCCTATTATATTAAAATTGTTTATCCATACAGACACAACAGAGACTCCATCTGCAATGGAAAGCAGCTTTGTTTCCAGATTTATCTTTAGCTCAAAATAACAAGTGAGATTTCATGCTTGTGGAGCACATGTAAATTAGTTAAGTAAAGCAGCCAAGTAGAAAAGTCCAGATTGCTGCTTCTACAAACTTACATTTACTACTCTTTTAGATGGGATGAAGGATCAAATGAAAAACAGTATTAACATTTTAAGGCCACTTTTTAAAACTGTATGAACAGAGCTTAAAATGTAAGTAGACATACACTTTTCTCCCCTTATTTATTTTTTTTTTTCCTGTTCCTGCTCTATGTCTAATAGTTGCTTCAGAAATTCTTGTGGCAGCAAAACCTAAAACTAAAACTAAACATTGGTCAACTTGGTCAGTATTACTCTTTGACCTGAACCTAGGTCTCCTGATGGGGTCCCACAAAGGGTTTTGGAAAATCTGGTGTGGCGTGGCTACTGTAAGGGCTACGTGTTCCCATTTACCACAGGTACCACACCTTCAGTATCCCACATCCTGTCCCTTAACACACTCACTTTATTGGCTGAGAAACTAGAGATGTGAGTTTGCAGCCCAGCTGTATAATCTTACCCTCAACTATAAGGAAAATCATTCTGAAATTAAATCCATCTTATCAGTGCTTGGTTACATAATAAGCCTTATTTAGTAACATTATATAAGTAACAGTGAATGTAATCTCTGACAAGCAGGTGAGATGAAACCTAGAAAGAATGAAACTTGCAAGTCACAAACACCCGGAAGTCAGCTTCCAATTTGGACATGTGCAGAATCAAGTACTCCAAGTTTCAGAAATGCACATTTTGCTTAATTTTGTGGCCTGAAGATTTGTGAAAATTAGTTTTCACATTAATCTTCTATGTTACAGATTTATTTTCAAAGTATTCTGCAAGTTCTTCAAATGTATTCTTTGAGCTTTATTTCATAAAGGATGCTCCTTTTCAACTCAACTGGAGAAATCTTTCAATATTTATATTTTCACTCTATCAGTTATTCAAAGTATTATTTTCTACCACTGTCACCATAGTTACTTAGTTCCGGCCACTGCTCCCAATTTGTAACTGACCTGTATATATATATTTTAAATATAAATGGTTTATGAAATCATAAAACATATCTTCTGATAATATAGAAGCATGACAACAAACAAATGGTCAATGAACAATGTTGATTCCATATTCTGGCAGGAAAACGCATTAAATTTTATGGATCAATATACTTATCCAAGGCCATTCTCATAATAAAATGAGAAAAATGTCTCAATTCTAAGTCTATAGCAACTCTTCCAGGAAATTAAATGGCTGGCTTCTATTTGCAATGGGGCAAACAAAATGAGCATCCAAATTTACGATATTTTTAATAACTACGTATTTAATAATACTGAAGCAGTAATTAACAGTGCTGTGAAAGGTAGCAAGAAGTCTCAGATAAGGAATCATGCTAGAGAAAAAATATTTCAGCAAACTATGATGACATCCAAAACACAAACTATAGTAAGAGAGGCAAAGCAGGCTTTTTGATTAGTAAGTGGAAAAATGAAACAAGATGCACGTCACAATACAGACACTAGTCAACAGCTGAAATTTATCACAGTTACGTGCACTTTGTCACTAGTTACAGATGGGATAAAAATTGATCCCAAAGCATGCAGTACAAAATGTACAACATCCAGCTTTGTGCAGGGGGTCCTCTATAAACCCTATTCAAGCCCAAATTATAGTCATAATCACCGGAGGCATTCTACAGATTTTATAGAAATTTTCAAATATAAGAATAAAACAAATAAGTTTAAAATCTTAATAATTTTTCAATAACTTTGTTTCATGAGAGCTTAACATTGTTCAAAACTATATCCTGAGGAGGTAATAAATTAAGCCTTAGTATTTAGGCATGTTGTTAAATCTGAATATATATCAATGATGCATGGGAAACTAAAATCTACCTTTACAGGCATGCTTCTTGGACTCCAATTGAGAACAATAAGAGTTGAATCTGCCCCACTGAGGGACAAACATCAACCAACATGAATTATAGGCTTTTAAAATGTCTATGAAATGCTCATCACCAAGAAATATCAAAAAGATTAGTTTTAAAGGAAGAGACAAAGAACTCAGCCATATTCAGGTGTAACTATTCTCTGGTTTAGGGTGAGGACCCACATACACATCCTATATAACTCAGTGGTTCTAACCTTGTGGACAGACTGATGAGATCTGCTGGGAGATGCTCCCCATTGGTCACTTTCACTATTTCCCCTACTGCCACCTACATGTCCCAGTTTAAAATCATTAAAATGGAAAAAAAAATGAATAACAGAGGGAAAAAAACAAACAAATGGACAAAAGAGACAGAAAGTTTGAAATTATTATAAAAATAATACATGTTAATAAAATGTCTATTGCCAATTTTTTCAAAATTTATTTTGATCAGGTCTAAAATCCTAAGAAAACATTTAGTATGTAAGGGATACTTATCTGCTTTTAAGTTCAATTTCAATGTAAATTTTTTTTATTTTTAAAGTTTTCTCACAAGCATATCTTATAACAAATTAAAGTAAAAATATGTTTCTATATAGACAGCTACTTTGTTTTGTAGATTTTTCCTTTCTTCCATTCCTCACCCTGATACCATGACAAAAGTATACTATACTACTTATTTTCCTTCCACTAAAACAATAACCCTGCTAAAAATTGTCTATTTCCAAAAGGTTTTAAAGCATATATACTGTATTAGCTTCAAAGCACAGACATGGACCTTAAGAAATTAGAAATCCTAACTGCAGTATTTTGAGTTACTTAGTTTTTAGTGCACAATATGGCATTAATGAAGATTGTAGGTATTCAAACCTTGACATGTCATTGAGTTAAGTCCCTAAAAAGTAAGATTTAAAGTAAAAATTAATTTCTGTAAATGATGATAAAAATCTTTTCTACCTATTTCTTTAGGCTGACATAGGTTAAAACAAGGTAAGTAATACAAAAAGCCCCAGGGGGAAAAAATATAACAATTCAACTATACAGTGGCATTCTACCACTTGGATAGAAATATCTGTCAAATAGAACAAACTATATGCTATGAATCCAGATAAATAACAAAAAGCAATGAATCAGATCATCTTTATTACAATAATCATCTTTGGAAGAAGTTAATTCCTTGGGATGATATATTAAGATATAGAAACTATTTTGATATAGCAATGCAGACAGCTATTAGTAACTGCTTTAGAAAATAAATTCTATAAAGTGCATTAAAATTATATATATATATATATATATATACATACATACATACATACACAGAGCTTGCTGGAAAGTTACAGGGACTGGATAGAGGCAGATGACAAATATTATGAAAATTTTCAACTTAGACTGAAGTATAAAATCAGGGCAGAATATTCAATAATCTTCAAATTAGTGAGCATACAACAACCAAATATAGTAATAAATGGCTTAGCATATATAGTTCTCTCCATGATAATGGCTCTAAGAGTTTATTCAGGAAAACATCAATCCTTTCTGAAATTCCTTAAAGGTTCACCATCATTTTGAACTTTCTTAGATAAATATAAAATAATATATTCAGTCATCCAATACATTTACCAGACTTCCACTAAGTACCACTAAGTGCACATCTTTCTGTTAGCTACGTACTTTTAGATGTAAAGGTTATCAATTTAAACAAAAAGGAGAATCAAAAGAATTGAGGAATATGAGAGCTCGATCATTTAATTCATCTTCCTCACTTTAAAAAATGGGGAAATCAAGGCCTGGAGAGATTAAGCAGTTTGTAAAATCACCAAGTATAAGCACGCTGGTCTCCTGACTCCTAAGCAGAGTTTTCTCTAGTACTAGATGCTACTTAGAAAACCAGAGGGTGGCAATGAGCTCACTGTTAAACTCATTTTCACAGGGTCAAGTGTCAACCATTCATTGTCTTTGCTTCAGTTTCTGAAACTAACCCTGAAAAAAGTTATAAGCAAAGTTATCTAGTAACAGAAAGCTTGAATTAAAACACCTATATTCATTTTTTCTGTAATCCAAGTCTTCTCTATGCCCATTGAAATACTACTACTAATAATAAAAACCACTATAGGTAAATGGCACAAAAAACTGACAAGTTTAAAATATGGAGCTATAACTACCCATAGTTACTTCAATTACCTGTAGACTTACTTCTATAAATATATGGATAGCTTTTACTCACTCAAAGTTTCACTAGCTTGTCATAAATCCAAAAGTTTAATAACGACCTGATTAAATAGATTTTGAAAAAAGGGCACTGTCCATAATCATATGTGGATTTTACAAATAAAACTGTCCAAGGAAATGATGATAAACAACCTCTAAAATATTAAATAATGTATTTTTTTTAAATAGTAGAATTTTACAGTTTTTATACATAAAATCTCTTGAAAGTCACACTCTTTAAAGGGTAACAGTATTACATGTTCTGAGTATTACTTCATGACAATCTTAAATGAGTAAAACAAAAATTATTGAAATTCAGCAATTAAAAAATCTTGAAAAAGAGGACAAATTATTTCTGTCACTGTTAGAAGAGTATGGCATTTCAAAAAGTATGATGACGAAAAAGAAATCATTCCACTTTCTTGTACCATCTCACCAAGAAGATCAAAAAACTTGGCAGGGATATACAAATGCATCATAGAGAAGTTTACCATAAACAAGGATTACAGGATAAAATCAGTAGAACCAGATCCATGTATTATAAAAAATAAGTAACAGGAATCTTAAAAGATAGTGACTAACACTAAACGAAATAGACATACCCTCCCTAGAGGGAGAGTGGAGTCTTTATTGTATTATTTAGTACCTATCACTTATTTTACATGGCAAACATGAAGGAATTCTTTAAGTCCAATCAACATTTTTCTTTTTTTTTAGTATTTAATTCAAAATAGTTAGAGAGGTTTCAAATTCTTCGTTTATTCCTTATTTCCTTGGAGCAATCACCGTAAGGTCAGGGCAGGGTAGAGAAACCATCCTCTACACTGTTTGAGCATCAGTAGGTATCTCTACCTTGATGAGAGAAGTACAGTGTCAGCAGGTATATACTCTTTGCCTTTTATTATAACTATATCTCCAACATTTACCTGAAAGAAAACTGGGAATCGGTTAATTATCTGCATGGAAATATCATTACGAATATACAACCCATTGTATTTAAGTATTGAATACAGTAAAGATGGTTATTGGCAAGTAAGAACTATTGCTCTTCATAAAACACCATAAAATTTTCTAGAGTGAGGCCAGGGTGGTCCAAGTCTTACCAAAATGAACTTTGTAATTTTATCAGTTATATAACTTATCTTAATAAAAATAATCTCTATACTTTCTATCTACTTGATTTGACATCTCAACTTCTCATATTTTCTCCTTGTCACATAAAAATAAAAAAGAGGAATTCCCTAGTTGAAGTTCTACCCTATTGGAGTAAATCTCAACACAAGTGGAGAAGATATCTATCATACATATGAGCATGACTCCTCCCAATGACCCTATGAATGATTGTTAGTTATGATTCATAATTAGAGACAAGGAATGTGAGCCCTAGATATCACAGCAAGGGAAAGGCTTATCTGGAAAACCCAATTCTGCATAAGTGAATTTAGTGAGACTATCACTATATTTTAAATTATAAATGGCTTACTCTCCATTTAGGATTTATTTGAGCATGGTATAAGACAAATTAAAGACACACTACTGCCAGAAACTGATACAAGTAATTTAAATGACAAGTTTGTCATAAAGCTTTTAGCAAACAATAACTAGGTAACAACTTAACTAGATAACTAGGTAAGTTGCTCATGTTACACTGATAGCTGCTCCCATCTAATCATGAAAACTGCTTTCTCTCTTAGCAGCCAAACCAAACCAAAACCAAACCTACTGCCACTGAGTCAATTCTGACTCATAGTGACTCTCTCTTTGGAATTCCAAGGCTGTAAATCTATACAGAAGTAGATTGCCTCATCTTCCTCCCAGGGAGCAGCTGGTGGTAGGTTTGAACCACTGACCTTCTGGTTAGCAGCCAACTGCCTTACCTCCTATCCCACCAGAGCTCCTTTACCAGCTAACTAAAAACAAAAAACCAAACTTGCTGCTATCGAGTTGATTTCGACTCATAGCGACCCCTCCTTGAATTTCTGAGGCAGTATCCCTAAGGAAGTAGATTGCCCAGTCTTCTGAGGAGTGGCTGTGGGTTTGAACCACCAGCATTTTGGTGAGCAGTCAAGCCAAAGAAACCTTAAAAGAAGTTTCAATAATTAATCAAGGGAAGTTTTTTTGTTCTTCCCTCCCTACCTCACCTTGAACCATAAAACAACACTTTATTGGAAGGAGAGAATGGCATCACCAACGGGAATCCCAATTAAGAAATTTTGTAGAGGCAGCCCTCTGTGCTCTACTTTATGTACTAGGGGAGGAATCGGCTAGGGAATGGGGAGGGAACAGGTAGGGAAGGTCTGGATACCTTGATTCAAAAAGTATTTATTTCAACATATACCAGAAATCTGGAATATTTGAAATTGAAAATATCACACTGAAAATCAAACAGTCTTCATCCAATTTTAAGTCCTAACATATTTATATGTTTATTAAGGGTTTTGGAGATACAAAGTGTTAACATCCACTGTAATCCAGTCAAGTCTGACTCGTAGTGACCCTACTGGACAGAGTAGAACTGTCCTATAGGGTTTCCAAAGCTATAATCTCTAAGAAAGCAGACTGCAGTATCTTTCTCCCACAGAGCAGCTGGTGGGTTCCAACTGCCAAACTTTCGGTTAGCAGTGAGGCTCTTAACCACTGTGCCACCAGGGCTCCCCATGATCTCTAGGTTGCATGAGAGCAGCTGTACAGAGTGAGCTTTATGCGTGTCTACATCCATCACTCCATGCTTACCGACAAAGCCAAAAGAATGTGTTGATTCCAAGATTATTCATCTGAATTCTCCACCTGCATCTATCTCAAAAACCTGAAAACTGAGAACTGTACCAGCTGCATCTCAACTTGATGAACTGTTCTTTGTGGTGAGGTCAATGATGACAGCTGCTTACATTTCAAGAGTGGAGATGTAGTTTTCACTGTGTAGAGTTCTGTAAGTGCAATACTTTGTTTTAAAACTGAATACTTGCAACTTAACCTTTTGAAAAGGGAAAAGGCTAGAGGGAGAGATGAGCTGCTAGAACTGGAGAGCTGAAGTCTGCCCATCTGTGACTGACTAGATATACTGCACTCTGCAAATTTGTAGGTCCTTTGAGGACCATTCAAAAGCAACCACAGCAGCCACACGTTTGGAAGGAGAAAGAACATGGAACTATAGCTATTTGCTCTAAGGCTTCTCATATTACCTTGGCATGTGGCTCAGACTCCTGGTTTTGGTATATTGATTTTATACTTAATCTCACAGAAATATTATATGCAAAGACAACATTTGCCCCAGAATCTGGCTAGTACAACAAGGAAGCTTACTTTTATATCTGTCCAGTTAGTGTTCAATAACCTGCTTTTATATAGCTTACATCTTAGTGCACATGTTTCTGTTCCTTCCTCCTCTGATTATATTTTATGATGTAAGGACCCTTAAATGTCTTGCTTGCTGCTGTGAGCTCATTAATTGGCATATACACTCAATAGATACCTGTTGAATGAATTGCATAATTATGCAATTTAATAATTATAGCTTTTAGTCTTCATGTAATCTACCAATATACCAACCAGTGGAACACCATGATGTATTTATGAAACCCTGTCCAGTCGATGGATAACCATGTACTCTAATTTTTAACTATTATAAATGATGCTACAACAAACATTTTTATACATGTAGAGATTTTCTCCTACTTTATGATTATTTTCTTGGGATGAATTTCCAGAATCCTAATCTACAATAGTATATGAGTGAAATATTTCACAAAAAATAAAAATTCGGAAGTGTATTTGTTTTTATTTATTGATAGATAACGAATGGAATGTCAATGTCATTTTAATTTGCTTCTTTTAATACTAGGTTGAATATTATACTGAGTCTGGTTACTTATTATATATCCTCTTGTTTACTGCCAAATATTCTTTCCTATTTATATAACAAGAATCTTAATTATATATGATTCAAATATTTTCCATATTCTGCCTACTTATTGGAAGTATGTTTTGCTGTATATTACTTTTAAATTTTATATCATAAAATTCCATAGATCTTGAGCTATAAAACTAATTCTATCAAACCAAAATTAGATTATTGCTTCTTCAAATACTTGTTAAAGCATTTATTCTATTTTGCATGTTTTTCAAAATCCATGTTTTAAGTTATAACTGGATTTTATTTTATCAAGGCTATGAGTTAGATATAAACTCTTTTATATCTTGAAACTGCTAATCTGTGATCAAATAATTCCATTACCAATTATTTTTGCCTCCTTTATCAAACATTAAATAGGATCTGTTTCAGAGCTATCCATTCTACTCATCAATGTCTTTTTTTTTGCAACAGACATATACTATTTTACAGTTAATTCTTATTCTTTAGTCCTTATTTTTCTAAAATATTCTTCTATTCTCTTAATTATTTCTGAAATTAAGATGAATAATTTAATGCATTCTTGAGTCAACTCTTGATAATTTCCCTAGGATTATAAAACATTACTGTGGAACAATTAATATTTTACTGTTTTGTTTAGAAATTTTAGGGACATAGTATCTCTGCACATTTATGTGATTTTTAACACTTAGACATTTTGATGCTTTCTTTACAAAGGTCATACATGTATATATTTTATTTCCAAGTACTGCCTATGTCACTGGGTATGGGATCTCTTTTTCACCATATTTTCTAACTTGATATAGCTGATACAAAAACGCTATAAATTTTTGAACATGTATCTTGAATCCTACACTGAGCCAACTTCTTAATTTTAACAATTTGGAACAATTCTTCTTTGCAAGTGTGTAAGTCTTACAGCTTTCAGAGAATCTTGATTAGAGAAGGTAAAACTCAGTAGAAATGAAAAACACCTTTCAGTCATCTTCTGAGTCACTGTGACTTTATCTTTCATCTGAAGAAAATTTCTAGCTTGAAGGAATATGTGTTAATCAAAACATATTTCCTCAATACTATTTTATTTAATAATTTCAGTTCATTTTGGTTGCACGACTTTTGGCAACACTTTAAACTCCACCACTATCTTTTTGTGTATCTCAAAGAGGGATGCGTGGACACAATGTGGCACTGCTGTCCAAGAGATGGGAATGTGGTCAATATGGGTCATTGTGACTGGTGCTTTAATAACTTGTCTTTGAAAAATTGAAAAAACAGGTGTTGCAATAATTCAGTTAAATTAGTACAACCTAGAAATAATGAGTGTCTGTTAGTAAAATAAGACATTTTAACAGGTTAATTTCAGAGGGAAGCAGCAGATGGTTATCTCCTACTTTGTAATGGTTTATGTATTTTCTGAACACAAAGTCTATATAAGAAAACTAGAAACTGATGAATCAACTTTTTAGGATATGGACTTATGTTATCTATATTAACAACCTTTGTAAACAAAATATATTTATAATGTAATTCATACCTGATTATATCCTACCTGTCTCTGCAAGTACCATATAAGAGTATAAAAGAAACTTCTTTGGAAACAGCATTTTGGCCTTTTTATATATATATATATAAACAGTTTTTATCTTGCTCTTCTGAAAAAGAAGTGACTATCACAGAAACAAAGGAGCCCTGGTGATGCAGTGGTTAAGCACTTGGTTGTTAACCAAAAAGCTGGCGGTTCAAATCCACCAGCTGCTCTGTAGGAGAAAGATGTGGTGACTGGCTTCTCTAAAGATTTATAGCTTTAGAAACCCTATGGGGCATTCTCCTCTTTGCTACAGGGTCACTATGAGTTGAAACTGACTCTATGACAATGGCTTTTTATCACAGAAATAACGAAAGCAAAATCAAGGTATCTTCCTCTTTGTTACTCTTACGTCAAAGACCAAAGAGAAAGAGATGTTTCTAATATCCAGAAGAGATGTCAATCTCTATTCTAGTCTCTAATTTGAAACTAACAAAAATGTTCTTGATTCAGTGATGACTTTAGTCCCTTCAGGACTACACAGCAACAATCACTACCCAACACAGAATCAAGGACATAGCCCTTAAAACTTTATTGGCCTTGCATGGATCCCAAAAGCTCAGAAAACAAAGTCTCTGGGTAGAGTGCCCTGGTCTCCAAAAAGTCTTTTACAAGGCACCAAGGTTATTCATTTGTGATGACTAGAGGTTAACTGTTCTTCCAAAACTAAGAGAGGACTAACCATCGCTTACCTTTTGAAAGCGAGTTCTGAAAAGGATAAACATTTAGATAAAACCTGCTAAATTATGACTCAACTCACTAACTGCCATTAAAGGTCCTCTGAGCATAAGAATCTTTATGAAACTGATTTCCAGCTCATTAGCAGATGATGTTTAGTTTGTAAGACTTGTTTTAAAAAGAAGCTAATAGTGTGCAAATATGATTAGTCACAGTATATGAATTTGAGACAAAATACATAAATGTGATATATTAGAATGCTAACGTTTATTTTTACTTGGACAGTAGATGATTAAAGCAAAAAATTACAACACAAAACAGTTCATGGTTAAATGAAATCTATGAAAACCGTACTCAAAGTATACTATGAATGAACAAAAAAGTTCTAAATATTACTTTTCAAAATAATTGTAATAGTCTTTCTAGTATATCTCCTAAATACTAAATGTAGGTGACTACCTACAGACTCCATGTATGTTTACAACATTATTAAACAGTTTTCATATCAGAAGAATTCTTCACAGTTGCTTACAGTATTTTTTAAAAAATCTATCTAGTAAAGTACATCTTTAAGCAGCATTGTTTCTCCTGGAACAAAACAAAAAAATCAATGCATACCTTTTCCCAGTGAACAATTTCCCAAGCACCATTTCTTAAAACTGGAAAGAGAAAAGGTGATACTTTTAAAACCAGTTTGATTACTATCAAAAGCTATCTCTGAAAAACAAAAAAAAAGGCATTTTAAATGAAAGCATCAAATAAATAACCTGTAGCAACTTTTATAGACTGTATTTTTTCAAATAAGAATGTGTACAATTACATGCACACAATGGAATACTATGCAATGCTAAAGAATAATGTAAAATCTGCAAAACACCGTATAACGTGGATGAACTTGGAGGACATTATGCTGAGTGAAATAAGTCAATCACAAAAGGACAAATATTGTATTAGTCCGTTATTGCAAAAGTTAAGGAAAGGTTTATCTTTGTTGGTTACCAAGGGTGGTAGGGGAGGGGAGAGGAGGGGAGAGAATGCTCTTACATAGATAGAGATAAGTATTGGTTTGGGTGAAGAGAAGGTCAATATACCAAATGTGAGTGACCAATATGGCAGCATTGAGGATGAGAAAGACATAGAGAGGTACATGGGAAGTACAGACAACAAAGATGAACCCTTTTGCACATACAGTACTGCATTGTTAGTGAAGGCAAACATGGGTATATAGGTGGATAGATGGGTGGACAGGCTGAACAATTAGGTATGTCTATGAAATGAGGAGTGTATCCAAGAACATGTATAGGGTTGACAGACAATGGTCCTGTAAGTTTATGTGAATGAGAAGAATTCCCAGGTGTATAGTAGAGCTGACAAGGGGCAAGGTTGTGGTCACTGCTTGGTAACAGCCAGGTACCAAGAGGGACCGAGTAATTGCACCTGTGGGCTTGGGACCACACTCACAGGGGACATCAAGCTCAACTGGCATAACATACTATACAAAACATCATTCCACCTCCTACTTTGGAGAGTAGCGACTGGGATCTTAAAAGCTAGCAAGCTGCCATCTAGATGCAATGATGGGTCTCTCCTTGTCCAGAGCAAGAAGAATGAAGAACACCAAAATTCAAGGAAACGATTAGTCCCAGTGACTGGTACACCATCTGATCTGCAGCCTATATGACTATGAGACCAGAAGAACTAGATGGTGCCCGGCTACCACTGTCATCCACTTGGAAGGGGATCTATGCAGGAGATCCTTGATAGAGAGGGAGAATGATGTGGAACAAAACTCAAAATTATTTGGAGGGGGAAAAAAGAGCGGGGGGGACTCCAGGTTTGCTGGTCCGATAGAGCCTGGTGGAACCACTGAGACTGTGGCCCCTAGCTGCCTTTCAGGTCTGGAATTGAACCCACACCCGTGGTTTCCAGCCAAACAAAAGACAGGCATATGAGCTGAACATTTACCTCAGGTAGATACACTCTTGGACAGAACAATCATGGGAGAAAGAAGGGTTGCTTATGCACAAGGAGACAGCTCAGGGGGCAGGAGTGCATGGAGGGATGGACACTGGGAAGGGGTAACTATGGAGAGGAAGTGGGAGGGGAACTGTTGCATTGTGGTAAACTGTGGTCAATGACATGAGACAAAGTGTATGTGAACTGCTGTATGGAAAGTGAATTTGCCCTGTAAATCTTCACCCAAATCACAATAATAATAATAATAAAAATAAAAAAAAAGAATGTGTACAATTATATAAAGAATTAGCAATGAGCAATGTACACATTAGACCCCACAATGACATATTACTAGCAGAGGGCAAGTTCACTGGCATCACAAGGGCTTTCTTCAGCACAGAGGAATTTGGGGGCATGGCTGAAGGAGAAAGCCACCAAAATCATGTGAACAATGGAGGAACAAGCTTAAAATCCTTCAGACGCTACAGCAGTGGCAGTGTTAAACAACAAGAATAATAATCCCCAAAACATCACAAGTATGGGAGGAAATAAGTACATTTCTAATTGGTTAATAAACACACATAAAGAAAACAGATAAAGAGTCTGTACCCTCAGGTTTATAATAATGCAAAAGGAGCAAAGGTTTCCATATATATTTTACAAAGAAAAAGTGACAGAGGAGGCTACTATTAAATTATGATGGAAGGGTAAACATTTCTTAGTGTCTCATTACTACTTCACAGCAGTGAAGTTCATCAATATGTCTTTTTTTTTTTTCCTATTATGTGTCTGTGGCATAATTCTGATTATACTAATACAGACAAACAAATACACTGCCATTGAGAGTCAGATTCGACTCATAGCCACCCATCCTTGGGTTTCCAAGGCAGTATCACTATGGAAGTAGATTGCCCAACCTTCCTTGCGAGGAGGATGAGAATAATGTGAAGTTCACAGCATAGCACTCAGAGCTGAAGAAAAAGAGTCAGGCAAAATTAGTCAACAAATTAGCCGGACAGTAAATTCCATGAGGACAAAGCTAATATCGTTTAGCCCTACATTCCCTGGAAACAGCACAGTACCTGACACAACGCAGCTGCTGAGTGACTATCTGCTAGATGACTAGTTCATAGATACACAAACGCTGGGTTCAGTGTCTTTTGATATTAGAAGCAAGAAGGCCTAATTAAACCCTCGGAAGGAAAACACAGTGATATTAATCCCCAAAATGTTACATATCCCCGAAAGCAAGGGCTGAGGTCTTATTCATTTCTTTATTTCTAGCACCTCACAGTATTCTTGGCACATAAGACACCCAAACACTTGCTAAACAAATGGATAAATGACAGAATGAATATCTTACAAAGCATTTGGGTCAATCAATTTCATAATAATAATTCTAAGTTGAAGAGATGAAATAAAAATATTTCAAGTGTAATATCAGTTACTATATGTCTGAGTTAAAGTTCTAATTTTCACAGGACTCATACAATGAGGGGCCAGGGATGTGAATGAAATACTCATGCCTAAAATGGATCAATTTATCCAAATATAAACTTCTAATCACAGCAGAGTTTACTGAGACTGACCTTAGGAGTAAACTTGCTCCTTGATGTTGGTCACAGATTACTAGTGGTTCAGAGTATATGATGTGGCTGTCTCTGCCACTGCCTAACAGGTGAGCTGAGAGAATGATGTAAACCCTTTTGTAACATGTGGATAAGAGAGTTGTTGTCCTTAAGTCGGGCCCAGACTCATGGAGACTTTGTGCACCATGGAATGAACAGCTTCCTGTTCCGGCACCATCTCATGACTGGTTAGGGATTGGATCATTGTGACCTCTAAGGTTTTCAATGCCTGATTTTCAGAAGTAAAATGCCAGGCCTTTCTTCCTAGTCCTAGTATTGATGTTAGTCTGAAGGTTCTGCTGAAACCTGTTCAGCATCGTAACATGAAGCCTCCACTGACAGATGATGGCTACGCATGAGGTACATCAGCCGGGAATTGAACCTGAGTCTTCTGCATGGAAGGTGAGAATTCTACCACTGAGCCACCAAGGCCCCAAGGGGATAACAGTACCTTCTTCAAAAGTCAGAATAAATGAGACCACTCTCTCCTTTAATTCACTTAATCCAGTGCTTACCATATAAGTACTGAACAAAGAAAACTGGCAAAATACTGCTCAAATCCACCATAACCAAGGTCAACTGACATTTATGACCAGGCTAACCAGGCTACATGTTTCCATTGATTAGAAAAAATATTCAGTATCATCTAGAGTTATTTACTTTCTTATGATCCAATCTAAAACTAGCTAAAGTTCTCCCAAGTGTAATACATTCTTTTTTTTTAAAAAAATTAATGCTCACTATTTTTAAAATCACAAGATTTGATATGAAAATTGAGATTTCAGGCTGGTCTGGAAAGCTCAGAAGGTCAGCAAACATTGAGTTCATTCCCACAATATAAGACATAGCTGGGACAGAGTGTTGGCCACCACTTTAGATGGAGCTCAGTAGCTCACCATCACCTTTGTGGCTCCCTGCGGTTAACAGTGTTCTATTATTATTTTGATAGTTTTATTATACTCATATGTCTCAATGTCCATCTCTATTTTTAAATTCTTCTACATTTATTATTCAAAAAGTCTTTAAAAATCTAGAATAATTTTTACTACTGAAAATGTCCTATTGATTTTATGACTTAAGCATCTCAAATTCTGCCATTAAAAAAAAGATCTTTTCCAACATCACCATCTTCATGACCACCACCAGCACCATTTTGTTCAAGCAACCATCATCTCCCAACTGAAGGTATTAGCCCCACATAAAGCTCCAGGAATTCACTTTTGCTCTATTTTAAATTCAGTTTACACAGTTTAGCCATACTGGTAATATATACTAATTTACATATTTGGTTAGTTCAGCTGCTACCCAAAAGGTTGGAGGTTTGAATCCACTAGCCACTCCATAGGAGAAAGATGAGGCAGTTTGCTTTGGTGAAGACTTACACCTTGGGAAACCCTATGGGGTCACTATGGGCTGGAATCAACTCTACACTCAAAACAGATAAATATATGTATGTGTGTATGTGTGTGTGCATATGTTATGTATACATATTATTATGTATCAATCCATACATCCTTACATACACACAAGCAACCCTAGGTCACCTCTTGCTCAAAACCCTTCTAGCAGAGTCCCTGGCTTATAAACTAAGGTTAAAATTTACATAGTCTTTTATGAAGTAGCCCCCGCTACTCCCCATCATCATGTCTTACCACTCCCACCACCCCCTTCACCCTCCCATGCCCCATGGTGAAGCTCCACACTCTTTTCCTAACTCAAAGCCATTGTACATGTTTCCCATGCCCAGAACACTCTATTCATCTTTACTTTTACCCGTCTTTCCCATGCTAGCCTTTACACTACTCCTCAGTGAGATACGGTTGGCATTTGAGATATGGTTGGCATTTGCTCCTACATGACACTCAAGTCTAAATGAGCCCCCTGCATTTTTCCTTCAGAGCACATACCAGTCATACTTTGAGAAATGATTCAAAGGCTCTCTTCTTACACAGACTGTAAGATCCATGACAAAAGGGAATGTCTCACTGCTGTATCCCCAGTGTTATGACACAGCAACCAAAGGTGTTCAGTAAGAACTGGCTGAATGGCTATATACTAATATCCCTGTGCATTTG